TTTGCACAAGGCCGTGCAGTGCACGAGGCCCTACGTTGCATGTAGTTGTGCACTGCATGAGGCATTGCACGTGGTCTCTGTTGCAAAATGCTGTGCGTTGCACAAGGAAGCCTTTGCACAACTGACAGCATCGCACAACACTGTGCAATGCACGGGGCCGCCATTGCAACACACTGTGCATTGCACAGAGTTGCTGCTGCTGCACACCTCAGTGCACTGCAGCTGCTCACTATTGCACAGTGCTGTGCTTTGCACAGAGCTGCTGTCATACAGCACGGGACATTGCACCAGACTATGGCACAACCGTGTGCACTGTGCAGTGCCAGCCTTGCACAACGCCGTGCATTGCACAATACCGCTCTTGTGCAATGCCATGCCTCACACAAGGCTGCCTTTGCACAAGGCCGTGCATCACACACTGTAATGGCACAACTTGATGTATGGCACATTGCACAACTCAATGCATTGCACAAGGCTGCTGTTTCGCAGCTCTGTGCATTGCCCCAAGCCACCCTGCACTGCAGGGGGATTCCACTGCACGGTGCCTGCAATACCCAAGGCCATCATTTGACACCGCTGTGCATTGCACAAGGCTGCCATTGCACAACACCATGCATTGCACGAGGCTGCCGATGCACAACGCCGTGCATTGCACAAGGATGCCAAAACCCAACTGCAGGCATCGTGCAGAGCTGCCATTGCACAACACAGCACGTTGCACAAAAATGCTGCTGAACAGTGCCTGGCACTGCACAAAGCTGCCATTGCAAAGACCACTGTTGCACAATGCATTGCATTGCACAATGCAGCCATCACTCAAGTGAATACACCGCACAAGGCAGTTGTTGCACAATGCCATGCATTGCACAAGGTTGCCATCGTTCAATTGCATGGATTGCATGGGGCTGCATTGCACAAAGCCGTGGGCATTGCACAACGCTGCTGTTGCACAGTGCTGTGCATTGCACAAGGCTTTTGTTGCACAATGCCATTTATTGCACAAGGCTTCTGTTGCAAGACACCGTGCATTGCACAAGGCCTCCGTTGCACAATGCCACGCACTGCACAAGGCTGCCTTTGCACAACGCAATGTATTGCACAAGATTTCTGTTATAAAATGCCTTGCACTGAACAAAGCCTCTGTTGAACAACTCCATGCATCACACAAGGATGCCATTGCATAATGCCGTGCCTTGCACAAGGCTGTCATTGCAAGACACTGTGCATTGCACAAGCCCTCCATTGCACAACATCGTGCATTGCACAAGGCTGTCGTTGCACAACCCCATGCATCACACAAGGCCGCTGGTGAATTGCACAAGGCCTCCGTTGCACAATGCTGTGCATTGCACGAGGCTGCCATTGCACAACTCACAAGGCCGTCGTTACACAACACTGTGCAATGCACGGGGCCACCCTGGCACAACGCCGTGCACGGCACAACAGCGCCCTTGCACAACTCCGTGCATCGCACAAGGCTGCTTGTGCATTGCACAAGGTCCCCGTTGCACGATGCCATGCATTGCACAAGGCCCCGTTGCACAACGCCGTGCATCGCACAATGCTGCTTGTGCATTGCACAAGGCCCCCGTTGCACAACGCTGTGCATCGCACAAGGCTGCTTGTGCATTGCACAAGGGCCCCGTTGCACGATGCCATGCATTGCACAAGGCCCCGTTGCACAACGCCGTGCATCGCACAATGCTGCTTGTGCATTGCACAAGGCCCCCGTTGCACAACGCTGTGCATCGCACAAGGCTGCTTGTGCATTGCACAAGG